GAGGGAAGAGGGACAGTTTGGACAATTTCATGCTCCCAACTTTGTGGGAGGAGTTTGGGGACGGCCCCTTCCTGTTCCAACATGACTGCGCACCAGTGCACAAAGCAAGGTCCATAAAGACATGGATGGGGGAGTTTGGGGGGGGAGGAACGTGACTGGCCGCACAGAGTCCTGACCTCACCCCCATAGAACACCTTTGGGATGAATTACAGCGGAGACTGCGAGCCCCTCCCCCAACATCAGTACCTGACCTCACAAATGGTCCAACATTCCCATAGACACACCCCTAAACCTTGTGGACGCCTTCCCAGAAGAGGCGGAGCTGTTATAGCGGCAAAGGGCGGAGCCAACACATCTACTTCAAGCATCGGTAAAGGCAAGGCTAGTACCCTGGCACCATACCCAAAATGGTAGATGAAGGGACTCACCCTGACAATGACGGAGAAGAGGGATCGGCACCCGGGGGCCATGTTGACGTAGGGGTCCAGCAGGAACTCGTGGATGTGGGGGTGAGGGAAGAGGGACAGTTTGGACAACACTGAAGTAACCTGTAAATTCACATCGTAGGGCTGGAAGAAAACAAAACACAGATTAAAGATTATCATTACCTGAAATCAAAACAGGCCCGACAGGTCAAAAAATATTAACAAATAACGCCATGGGAAATATGGTTTAGGGAAAAATGGGTCCATTTTAGAAAAGTGCTCTGAGGGATTCAATTGCATTTTGTGGGGGCGGGGCAATGTAAAAATGTCTCTGGTCTATGGCGGGTGTACCGGTGTGACAGCTGGACTGGTTACACAGTCAGACGTGGTATCAGAACCTGCATTGCCATATCGGTCAGCTGCAACAAGGAGATCTCATGTCACTCAACCGAAACCAGCATCAGGTCACATGACCCTCAGCCGCTCGGCACTGTGGCCACAGATATCATGAGAGTCTTTAAGTGAAAATTCTGCTGACGTCGGCACTTTATTAGTGTCAGGGTTGGCATTGGGTCATGTGACCAGGAAGCGGAGCACCGCAGGATCTTACTGTTACCCTGGACAGGTGAGATTATGACCGTCGTATTGCACCAACCCTCTGTAACCATCAGATTCCAGCACTTTCACTGTATATGTAGATTGGACTGTACCTGGTCCAGTATCCTGCCCATTCTGTCAAACAAGACTTTCAGGAAATGCCCCTCGAAGAATGGAGCCTCTAAATTGCACTTCTCGATGGCCTTCGCCGTGCCGGGCCAGTCCCAGCGCAGGCAGATTGCACAGTAATCCCGGAACTGCACAGATATATAATAAATCAGAACTGTTATCACAAAGGCTTTGATGGAGATTCTGGTCGTTGTAAGATAATGAACGGAGTCGTGACCTACCTGTCTGTGGGCATCCCGGAGGTAAGTGTCATAGCCGGTGCCCTCCACGTAGTACGAGGACTTGGCTTCATCAGGGACCAGGCAGAGAAAACTGCAGGACACAAAAAAAGAGAAGAAAACTCCCGATGTCACTTATCCCGTACACTGCTGAACAAACACATTATAGAACAAAGCAGGTGAACCTCGTGTGAGGGAACCGGGAGACAAGCCACCC